AACTGTCCCATACTTTAACCTACCATGTTCAAGTTGGCTCTACAGTGCAAACGAACAATCCTATTGTCAATGAAGTTTTCAACAGCCCTCGAGCTATGCGGATACCGCCCACCTGTCCACTGGCCCGGATCAGACCTCTTGTGGGAAGATATGTGCCGCCTGAAGTTGTTGCTGTTCGGGTGCCTCTTCTAAATTTATCCAATTTTCAAATTAATGATTGGCCCGATATATCAGCGAAAAACTATGCAATCATGGTTCTCATCCTTCCTACTGACAGTGTTAGAAAATGGCGAGACCATGAGTTGGAACTTGTTGATGTGGTTGCAGATCAGGTATTGGATTCATTTGAAATTTCCTTTATCACACTGGTTGTCATTTCTTGTCGTGTCGTTCTTGCTTTTGATTGTATGTTCCCCATACCTTACTCCCATTACTGTGTTTTCCTTTACTCCTTGTTTGTTTGCTTAGACAGTCATATCAATTGTCATTGGCACTTGGAAGTTCTGTTCTTACTGTTATATGGAACTTGTTCTGGAGTGTGGAATATTCAAGAGAATGGGAAAATGGTCATTAACCATTGGTCATTTGGCATTGACTTAAACAATGGTGATTTGAGGTTTTCTGGTTTTCCTCAACCACTTTGGAATGAAAAAAAATAGTAAATGTTTGGTAAACTCAACCATAAAATTTAGCAAAGGTGGAAGCATGGTCGAAATGATGTAATTATAGTAATAAAAATATTTTTAATTGCGGTATTTTGTTTTTGCTTTTCACTTGGTGATTAAAACAGTTAGAACGTCTGTGATATTTGTATTGATAGCTTCTCTATTTAATTCAACCTCCACCGTGTAGTCAATACACAAATCTCATCATGTCTCTGGTATTAGGAATAGGATAGACTTGATACTATATTCAAATTGAGAATGGACAGGGACTAACTCCAGCAAAAGCTAACTCGGAGGGAGCATGATCCAAGTCATCTTAAAGGTTTCTTTGGGTATATACCTAGTTGTTGCGGGATAGTAGCAAAACCTCTCTTGGATATCCAGTAAAGGTGAAAGCAGACATTTGATCTATAGCAGACATTTGATCTATATATTGGCAGAAGAGATTGAGCTAATCTGATGTATTTCTTTCTAGCTTAAATATAATCAGTTGTTCATTGTGTAGGATATTCCTCATTCCCTACTTCTATGTATGCCTCATAGTATGAATAGCTCTATTAATTACAAGCGAAACGGTTCATTTAGTTTTATGCTTTCTTGGAATATTGTTTTCTTACTAAATTAGATCACTATGTTTGTATGATGTTTGGAATTTGTTTTTGTGGAAATTTCCATTTCAAAATATTGCTTGCACTTTCTGGTGTCATGGTGGAATTTTTTTTCTTTATATGCCTCCTGTCAAATGGAGCAACATGGCTGTGTTAGGACTTTTCAAAATATTTACGGTCAGTGTCTATTCCTCTACTTGTTGAATTCATTTTTAGTTTCCAAACAGGTAGCAGTTGCCCTTTCTCATGCTGCTATTTTGGAGGAGTCTATGCGAGCCCGTGATCTACTCATGGAGCAGAATGTTGCTTTAGATTTGGCTCGTAGAGAGGCAGAAATGGCAATCCATGCTCGCAATGATTTTCTTGCTGTCATGAATCATGAAATGAGGACACCAATGCATGCAATCATAGCACTGTCGTCACTTCTCTTGGAAACTGAACTGACTCCGGAGCAGAGGGTTATGATAGAGACAGTGTTGAAGAGTAGTAATGTTTTAGCAACACTCATTAATGATGTTCTAGATCTTTCTCGACTTGAGGATGGTAGCCTCGAATTGGAAATGGGAAAATTCAACCTTCATGGTGTTTTGGGAGAGGTAGTTGCTATAAGTTTTTATGCTTCATTGTTCTGAAATAGCAATAACATAATTCTCCTGTCTTTTACCGTGTACTGAATTTTTGTATTGTCTTGTTTTTAATCTTAAATGCAGATTGTTGAACTGATAAAGCCAATAGCATCTGTGAAAAAATTACCTATTACTTTAATTTTGGCTCCTGATCTGCCTACGCATGCCATTGGAGATGAAAAGCGGCTAACACAAACACTTCTGAATGTGGTGGGTAATGCTGTCAAATTCACTAAGGAGGGTTATGTTTCTATAAGAGCATCTGTAGCAAAACCAGAATCTTTACAAGATTGGCGACCTCCAGAGTTTTATCCAACATCAAGTGATGGTCATTTCTACATTCGAGTCCAGGTTATGATTGTGCCATTCAAGATCTCAGCCTTAATTTTCTTAAATTTTGAGATATAACTTTTAGTAAAATCCCACGTGCTTTACATTCATATAGTGATGTGATTGTATTCTTAGGTTATCTAAATGATTGAGACATCCAGATCATCCATACGGATATTCCGAGATACAAAGCCTTGGAATTAATCCAAAGACATTTTTGTTGTCATTGTTGTCAATTTAGCAACTGTTAGTAGTTAATTTAAATTTGCTTTTTCTATGGTGTTATTATTATTAACACAAGCATCATCATTTGTTTAGGTTAAGGACTCTGGATGTGGGATTCCCCCACAAGATATTCCTCATCTCTTTACCAAGTTTGCTCAGTCTCGGAGTGGACCTGCCCGACCTAGCAGTGGTGCAGGTCTTGGGCTTGCAATTTGTAAAAGGTAGGGGGAAACATAGTATTTTGAATTTGCTGCAGTCTGTCAATTCTCAATATGCTAAATGGATTTTATTACAGTAAGCGTAAATAATAGTTGTCTTTCCTCTATTAAGTCTGACTCCTCCACAAAATTGATTCAGATTTGTAAACCTCATGGGAGGTCACATATGGATTGAGAGCGAGGGCCCTGGAAAAGGAAGCACAGCTACATTTATTGTCAAACTTGGGATTTCTGGCAATCCAGATCCGTCAGATCATCAAGCTACAAACAGAAGCCAAGCATATAGTGGAAGTGGTGGCCTCGCCAGATTTAAACCATTCATCAAAGATGAAGACGACAGTGGTTTTTCTACTCGGCGCAATCAAAGAAGTTTCTAATATCCAAGACAGCAATGCGGTCTACAAGATGTAGTAAACCTAGTTTCATTTTGCATGTAGATTAGGATTACTATGTCTAACAAACAGTTTTCATCCGAACTCCTGCCGTATTAATTAGAATACAATACAGTGGAACAGAGTTCAGATATTGCCTTAGTGGCATTTGTCTTAATAAAAGTGGTAGTATCGGTATCAGTTCTCCATCTCTCACCATGTTACTTGGTTCGTTAGATTTTCCGTCCGTCGTTTGTGTTGAACTTTAACTAGATTATGAAAAAAGCATTATATAAGTGGACATACCAAGAAAAGCTTTGGTATAGAATTTTTAGATTGGAGCTTAATATTTGAAAGGAAAATGGTCGGTTCCACTTTTACTATGGCAAGCTTTTCTTATTTGTATATCAAAGCATAAGCACCGTTCAGGTAAAAAAGATTCTCACTGCAGAAACGCGTTAAGTTGGCTTTATAGATGGATGAAAGCTAAAACGATGAATAATATCTTTACGCATAGAGAATCAATTTTATGCACTATTACATTTAATAATTAATATTCATTTTTACCGAAATCACAATAATCAAACCTTAATTAAGACCAAGTATTTCAGATTTCTTTATTCATTTATTTCAATGACATGTGAATTAATGAATATCTTTCACCATAATACAAATTTAGAGGTGGAAACAAAGACTCTTTAGCTTCTTTTATGTATTTAATTAACTGATAAGGTTGATTGATTAAAAAAAAGAATAAATTTAAAGTTATGAAATCCAATTTTTATTTTCACATTATTCATATTTTTTTCACCTGTTTTTCTTTCTATCTGTCATTAAACACATTTGTTTCCTCTATTTATCTGCTATTCTCGTTTTTTTATTTGTATCCACATATTTCTTTTCTTTTCATTTTACCAAACGAAAGTTAAGGGTATGTCTTGAATTAAAGTGTTTCAATAATGCGATTTTACCATTGATACTTGATGTGCTTTCAGCACCATCCTGATATTATACCCTTTCTATATATTTTGATTTTTAAGGTTAATATACATATATAAGCAGTATTTCATATAAGTAAAACTTTACTATCTTTTTTATATATTATAATCTTTTAATGTTTTATGTTTTAAAATTTTATTTCAAATAATTGATACTTTCAAATTTCAAATATTAATTTAACATCTCCTATATAGGTCACATATACATGAAAGGTCAGTATATTAAATAAGCCATTTAGTTTAAATTAGAAAACTAATATTTTATCTTACTAAACATTCTTTTTATTAATGTACGTTAATAATAAAATACAAACTTTGCTGTTTTATATTAAATAAAAGTAGGTACGTTAATCTTAGAATAGAAAAATATGCTGTTTTATATTAAATAAGTATATTTAAAAATAAAAATATATATATATATATATATATATATATATATATATATATATATATATATATATATATATATATATATATATATATATGAGAATATCTAAAAAATGAAAAACAGAAAATACTAAAAATATTTTACATTCTTTTCACAAAAACTCCTTAATAAACAAAATATTAACAGGAAATTGCTTTATTATCCATACATGATTTTTCCAAAATTATAAAATATCTTACTTTTTTCTACCCGTACATTTTACATAGCACTAATCTCACCAATCATTTCCTCATTTACGATTAAATAAACATTACAAACAATATACATCAACGTAATTCTGTAAAATCTAACATAATCTCCTAGGGTATATACATATCATCAAGAAACATTAAGATGATACGTATAGGGCTAATCGGAGCAGACGCAATACGAATGTTTCACTAGTTTAAAACAACTAATTCTCTAGTTCCTTAGTCGACAAGACGGAGATAATTTACATGTAGCCGAGCTTGGTTTTGTAGTTGAATTGTTTAAGCGGCAAAATAAAACAAATTTTATCGGGACTGGGCGATTCAAAGAACATCATGGCTATAAAAGAATTAACACAAGTATCATCCGAAACATTAACGATATCCATACAAAAATAGCCAAAACACAATGGAGAAAGAGCACAATGTTATGATTTCATATACTTAAATAAAAACTAAAGAAGGTCTAAACCACCACAGAAATTCAACAATACTTGTCAAAACTACTTTAGAAAAATAACTGAGAACGGCAGCCCCAAAAATTCTGCGAGCCAATATCAGAATATGTGGCTCACTTCTTGGATTTCTTTTGTGCTCTGCAAGGAAAGATGTTCAATTAGACAACACATAAAACCCAAAGGGTGTAAACATAGGACAAGCATAAATTAGAAGACTCACTGGGCAGGCTGTGATGCTGTAGCAGCAGGAGCACTGGGCGCAGCTGATGACCTTTCTCCTGGACCCTACATTGTACAAGAGTAAGGGCCAATGATCAAATTCTATAATTCCAATTTCAGCAAAAATAATTTTTGAATGCATTAAATCCAGAAGTGCATCAATCACTTGTCACGGGTAATATCTACTCAATACAGAATGAAACTCACTTGGGCCAATCGCTCCTCCCTCCGGGCAATTTTCCTTTCCCTGCTGGCCTTGTTCTTGGCACGTTTGGCCTCAAACTGATCAGACAAGGTTTTCTCTCTCGCCTTCTCAGCTTTGGACTTGTGTATGCTCTCCATCAAAACCCTCTTGTTCTTGAAAACATTACCCTTAACCTTCATGTACATGTCATGGTACATGTGCTTGTCAATCTTCTTAGATTCCCTGTACTTGCGAAGCAAGCGTCTGAGCACACGCATTCTCCTCATCCAAAGGATTTTAGTGGGAAGCCTTGCCTCCCTTGTACCCTTACGCTTACCTGGTATTATTCAGGAAACAATATAAGTAATCCCAATATTTCCTCGCTGTCTCACCCATAAAAGTTTTCATATAAACTTGATATTTAGCAAAATAATTCACACTGATAAACCCAATTATCATAAGTGTTTTCAATAGAAAATGACAGACAGCCAAAATTATGCCATACAAACGTGCAATTGTGGCTTATGGTGCCATCATTGCTGAACCGCCTTCACATACGACGCATGGCAGTAAGAAAAAAGAAACCCACCACACTATTCTGCCATACAACCATTTAACAACATATTTTTCCAAAATGGAAAAGAACTCGGTAAAATATTCACAATATCACCGCAATTTCATGATAAATACCAATGAAGTCTGGGACACTAAAAATTAAAAATAAGATTGCAATACACAAAGACCGATTGCATAAATAACTAAATTAAAGCCTTAAGCAATAAGTAAATATTATGCAGGAAACCGGAACCTAATTATGCATACTGGTTTTTTAATCGAAAGAAAAGAAGGTTGACCTATTATTGTACAAGTTGCAATATTTCTTTTACTAGTTTTAGTGCAGAGCTTATTTCAGGAAAAAGCTTATTGACATATCATAAGCTACTTATAAAACTCTAAACCATTTCTTCAAGGGGTTACTTCATGAGATTAATTTACATACACTGTAAAGAATTAACAAATTGAGAATAAGAAAAAACAAATTATCTAACAACGATTAGATCCCCATTCCATGAAAGTGAATGGACTTCACATAAGGGCAATTAGGGATGCGACTAAAAATACCATATCCAGAGTGACGTCCTTTTCTCTTGGCCTCCTTCATCCGACGGGCGCGTGAGCGAGAGTGAATCTTGGTGGGTTTCCTGATAATAAACCCATCCTTAACCAGCTTCCTTATGTTTTGGCCTGAAAATCAAGAGTCCAAAGTGTTTAAAAAATACACAGAACCTCGAATAAGGCATTTGGATCCCCCAAAAGCTATGCAATGATTAGAAAAAACAACAACATTCGACTGTAACACTAGTGAAATAGGATTTGCAATCTACTCGTGAAATAGGTCGAGTTAGCATCCACATATATTCACGGAAACGATCAAAACCCCGAACAGGTTCAGATCCTATAAAAACTAAAACAAAAGTATTAACAGTGAGAAAAAAAGCGGGAGAGAGGGAGTGCGTACGAGAATTGGCCATGGAGATTTCGTTGACTTCATTGGGGTCAAGCCAAACCTTTCCTCTGCCGCACTTGAGAACGCTTGCGGCGAGGCGCTTCTGCAGTTTCAGCGAAACCATCTTGTGAAGAGAAAGCACCTTACAACCCTAGGGTTTGGGTGAAGTGCCCATGCAATAATAATATACTTGTTAGGTTGGGTTTGTGTGACATGGACTACTTTTCAAGGCCCGTTTCACTTTCTGAGTCTCAATGGCCCAATACCAAAAATTTATGTTGGGTTGGTTTTTGGTTCGTTTAAAATTAAATTAAAATAAAAAAAAAGTATAGTTTTAAGTTTAATTATAATAATAAAATTATTTAAATATGTTTTTAGTTGTTTGGAATCATCATTTAAAAAATATTTTTAGTCTTCAAATCTTGCGAAATACTATTTTTAACCTTAGAAAACATTAATAACATGATGTGATAAATGATTATTTACTCAACAATTTTTTACATTCAGATTTAATTGAGTAATGTGATTTTTTTAAACTTTATGGAAAGGCTTGAATATTAATCCTATACCATTACTTTTTTGTCTTTCAATTAAAAAACAAAGTTATTTTTAGTTCTATTATTTCTCATAATATTGTTTTTAATTATTGGATTAGACTACATTAGTAACATTGATAATGTGGTAAATAACGGTGTTAGATAAAGTTCCTGTACCTTTGACTGAAATTTTAAAATATAAGAGTGGATTAAAAAAGGTTGATGTTATGAGATATTTAAATAATGTGAATGAGAATTTAAATCTATAATAAAGGGAATATTACAAATGTTATTTAACTTCATATACTCAAAGCAACATTTGCCAAAATCAAATTACTGAACAAATGAAAATATAAAATTAGAAGACCAAAAGAAAAAAATATTCTAACTATGGAGGACTAAAAGTATGTTTAAGCTTTCATAAAAAAATTAAAAAAACATGTCACTTAATTACATTTATGTAACAAATGTGAAATAAATCACTCTTCGCATCTAATGTTTTAATTGTGGTCCAAATTGAAAAATATCATTTCACAAAATTAAAAGATTAAAAATAAAAAATAATAATTTAAAGATGAAAAGAAATGATGTTCTAGAGTATCAAAAACATACTAATATATAAAATTATTATTTAAATTAAATTAAGTGGAAATTATATGAGGAATCTTTTTAATGCACGAGTATAGCAATTAATTGTTTTGAATTCGATTGTAACTAAACAATTGTGTTAGAATTCGATAAAATTTATTTCATTTGTAAGTAAACCAAGTTATAACGACTTCATTATCAATTACTTATATAACTCAAACATTTCATAATAAGATAGATTCTCTTGCACTCACGGTGAACATGGTATACAACTTAACCAACTTTAAAGGCATCATTACACAAAATAAGTCATTTAGCAATTAAAATAAGTAAGTTATGATTTGTAATTGAAAGCTACCAAATATATCATTATTTAGCTACTAAAATAATAACAAAATAAATTCTTAACAACATTAATTTCATTAGGGAATGAAATAACAACCAAAAGTTTTAGTAGTTAAATTTTTTGTCACTAAATCAATGGTTATTAAAATAAAAGTGTTGTTTTCAACTATCGAATTGGCAATTAAAGAAAAATATTATCTTAGCAATGAATTTGATTTCAGACTAGATGAAAGTGTTGATTTTTACAACCAAATTAATAATTGAATTAAGTGTTTTTTTAATAAATAATATATGTCAATAGTTATACTTAAAAGTTTTCTTATTTATTAAAAATCGCGACTCTTTCACTCGTTTAAACCTTCTCTTTTGTCACTTGTTAAAAATTTTCACTCCCTTTTATAATCACATGAAATCACTCATTTTCTTTTATAATAATACAAAATCTCACACTTACATTGCATAGTCCTTAAATGTCATTACAATGAATCATTTCAATATTTCATTGTTCATACTATGTGGTCACTTTAACTCTTATCCCAAATACTCCACCAACTACAAGAAAAATGTATATTATTGATGGATATAATCTATTAATAAAATGATCGTGATAAATTTTACTGACAGATTTCGCAATTCGTTGGATCTTACAATTTCAAATTCGTTGGTAAATATTTGTTTGTAATTATCGACAGATTTTGATTATTGCTAAATGTCACAATTTGATGTTCTTCTTCCCCTCTCATGCATGTTTTTGTTCTTTTTCTTTTTCTTATTATTCTTTCTCTATCCTCTTCCCCATTCTCTCCCTTCATTGTCACCACCTTCCCTTCCTTCACCTTCGGCCACCATCATCAAGGAGTCGCCACTACACCATGGTTGTCGCTATGTCACCACCACCTCATTTTCTTTCTCCTCTTTCTTTTCCCCCTCTTTCTCTCTTCTTTTTATTGTTCTTAATATACAAAAAATATTTTGAGACTTACTAAAAATTTACATCTTATTTTACCCATAGAAACATTCTTGGGTTAAATATGTTTTTAGTCCCTTAAATATCAAGCGATTTTATTTTTCGTCCCTCTTTCAAACTTTGGTACACTTTTGATCTTTTTCCTTAAGGAAACTATAACTTTTCGTCCTCCAAAACCAACGGCGTTAAAAATCAGCTGAGGTGGCTAACGGTGTGCCAAATCATATTTTCTTTTTTCTGACACGGAGTCAACTCTCTCTAATTTCTTCACGGGGAAGTTTCTAGTGAGTGGGGTGGTGGTGGGTTATGCAGCACCCGACGCCTATGTCCTGGGGAAGTTAGGGATTCTTGATCATGACCCCTTTAACATCTCCATCGCAAAGAAATTTTTCCCCGCCGCCCTAGTCTTCTATCTCACCATCTTCACCAACACCAACCTCCTCCGCAACGCCAATTAGAGAGAATGGTTACAGTTTATTACTATTTTGTTTGGTGAGAAGTGAAGAACTAAATCCCACTATGGAAGTGGACAAGTCAAACTGAACTATCACATCTTCCAATTGATACCCTCCGATCACAATGGAATTTCTTGGGTTCACACCTCCATCAAAGAACCCTAAACACCTCATCGCTCACTCTCACCATGGAGTTCCTCCCATGTACGCTCCATTTCACCATCTCACTCTGCAAAACGAGTTCAATGACCGGCACAGAAGACCCCACTTGCGAGGAACCGAAACAGAGCTCAAAGGGTGCCACATAAAGACTTGGCAAGGTTGGTAGTGGTGCTGGCCGACAGGGCCGGAGAGAAAGGAGTTGGGCGATTTGTGGGTTTTGGCTGCGAAGCATTAGAGGGGGCAGTGAGTGACGGGTGGTGAGGGAAGAAGGCGAAGGGGTGTTTCGGAATGCACAATGGAGCCAGAGGAAAGAACCTCAAAAATCAAGAACCAGTTTTGTGGGAACAAAGATGATTACAATAATTTTCTTTTATTTTTACTTTTAATTTTGAGTTATTATTATGAAGTGTGGCAACATATTCGCTATTGTGGCATAGACGATTCTGAAACAGTGCCACCACGTTTTGTATGCATTGGTTGTTGTGATTCACTTGTACCCTCCAAGACCGAATCATCCTTTTGTTCATATTCTCCTTCTTCATCTAGAGCAGTTCGTCGTCCAATCGCTACAATTTCCCTTCTTCTCTTAACTTTGTTTTTACCGAAAAGGGATTTGGAATCAAATTGGGAGAATTTGTTTAATTTTTCTGGGTGCAGGTCGAAGAGGAATTGGTGTTGCGATGTTAAGGGAAGACGAAGATGAATCACGCGTGCCCCTCTGTAGCAATTTTTGATTCCAATCTTTCCCCATTTCATCAGTCATATATCTGCTCCATGTCAAAGAAGCCAAAGATGAATCACGCGTACCCACCACCACCCTTATCACCTCTTATTTTTTCAAAAATAAAGAGAAAAATAAAGCACAGAGGAACAAACCCTGGAATTTCTGTGCCTAAAAAATAGAGAGACCCTCCATTTATTATTTTTATTTTTGTTTTAAATTTAAATAAATAAATATTCGCGAACCCCATTTTGTTCTCTTTATAGCTTCAATTGTTCTCGACTCCGAAAGCTCCACCATTGAAAAATGGAAGACACGGCAGAACATCTTCAACTCCATTCGTAGCGTGAAAATCATGGGCGCTTATAAGGGCACACAGGTCCACGCGCTCAAACCCTCCACCGTCGCTGCTGCCGATCGGAGCTCAGTCAGTGCTGCTGATAAACTGTTGCATACTTCGTTCGACCATTCCAAATCTCATTCCAATCTTTCCCCTATTATGAGTTTTAATTCAAAAGTAGGAAACTTTGCAGATTTTCATTATCTACGTGGCACATCACCGTTTGCCACTTCAATTTATTTTTAACGCTGTTAGTTTTGAAGGACGAAACATTATAATTTTCTTAAGGAGAATGATCAAAGTGTATCAAAATTTGAAAGAGGGACGAAAAATAAAATCGCGTGATAGTTAAGGGACTAAAAACATATTTAACCTAATATAAATTATAATTTGTGATACTATACTTGGATTCACGTAATGATATTCACATGTAAACGTTAAAATCACTACCTCCAAATTATGCTAGCATTACTTTGTCTGATCAAATAACTTATGAAGTATGTACAATTCAATGTAATTAGTCATATTCAAATTAAAGGTTTGTTTGTGTTTTATTATTAAAATAAATGTTTAAGGGTTTGTCACGATGAGTACTCATTTTATTATACCACTTATATGAGAAACAATTATAACTATGATTATAAATAATGAAGCAAAATAACAAATTTGTTGTTTGAGGTAACTAACTAGAAAATGAACTACAAAATCTGATGAATTTCTCATCTCCCTCCGACATGTTAGTATATAAACATATTTTATAGTAAGGCAGAGTCTTAATTATTATGCTACATCATACCTAAGAAACCAATGTTTTAATAATAACAAAATATAATAATAATTTTGGTTATAGTATAATATTTTTAAATAAAATTGTGTCTGACTTGTATTCACTTGGTTATCATTTACTAATATAAAATAAAACGAATATTTTAAATACTTAAAGAAATTATTAAAATTCTAAAAGAAAATAATGTTTATTTTAAAATTAGAAAAAAAAAATATAAGTGTCATTTAACATTATTTAAAGTACAAATTTTCAAAATATTTACTGTTCTA